AAAATCCGGATGTTATATTCGTTTTGATGCTGAGTGCTGTTGACCTCCACACAGACTTGACGTGAGTAATGAAAGCTTGTCTTGCTTTTCCGATCCCCACTGCTTTGGTATCCTCGTCAGTTTCGTCCACCTGTAGTTGAAACGATGTTTCCCAGGTAGGTGGGTAGGTAGAGGAGGTTGTTTCTTTCAGGTTCCTCCCATTTATGCTGGCTGATTGTTGTCTGTTGTTGTTGTTGCTGTTGGTGTTGGCCAGGAATCTTCATCACCTCTGTTTTCTGTATGTTCACTTGAAGTCTTATCTTTGATGCTTCTTCTGCCATTATAAGAAGAAAATTATGCAATATGCAAGTCTTTTCAATATTAACACGTGCAACTTTCCTCTCTTACTTTTGCGTAGTTTCCTGTCTTTTGTGTGTTCATCGCAAGGGGAAAAAAGACAGTTTGTCACGAAACACAATCCAGGAAATCCTGTTTCAATTGGATTTTATGTTTGATCATACGCACACACACACACACACACACCGAGGCGTACACGCATAATTAGAGTGAATCTTCATTCTTACAGTAAATCGTCACGATATTCAGTTGCATAAATAATCAGTCGGTTTTTTTCAAAGAAAACTCTTCAGTTTCATTACTGACTGCCTTTCCATATCCTGATTGGCATACACGCTCGTTTTGCATTTGCCAGTTTACACCGTCTCTGGCAAAGACGTGATATCCAACTCGACCAAAGGGCAGGTGTGCTGCTCATCACTCCGCTCCGTCCTGTGACTGAGACATGACCATTGAGAGTGGAAGACATGAAAAGGTTGGCTAGCTGTCTGTCTTTGATCATAGGTGCCTGCGCTCTATCTCCCGTGTGAAGTGGTATAATACGGTGAGCAATATTGAGGTTAGGCACCAGTCGAGTGCTACGTAGGTGGGAGGGGAAATCAATCGACGAGGCTTTGAAATTACATCGATTGAGAGAGATGGTTAGGACATGTGTTACGTATGCCTAGTTATCGCCTTCCTCGACCGACGGGAAATGTTAGCTCACATAGGGTCAGGCTGGAAAAGAGCTAGCCAGCGGAGGTCAAACCAAAACATGGCTTCATCAGTCAATGAAATCCACAACAGTTAGTTTAAGCCAGCTACATAGGAAGGTGTAGACTTTCTGACTGGTTGGGGTCATCGGGACGGTAACAGTTGGTGATATGGCTCAAAATCGTTCTCAGTGGCGCAGATGCATCCACTCCATGTGACTTATGATTTCCAATGAAACTATATTGTTCTTCGTTATTACTATTCCTTTGTCTCACACCTCTTTTTACTGTCTCTAATGTGCATTTCTCTTGCTTTGTGTGCTACATGGAGGGAGTGTGGCGACTTGAACTGGTGGACATCGGTGCAAAGTTCTATTTCGAAAACAGACAGATAGAATCAGATCATGTACATTGGATATTTATTTATTCATTGTGAATAGATGAAATCATTGACGATATGACTTCTAGCCAGCACTAAGTTGTCGATTTGAATTCTACCTCACCAACATGTGTCGTGATCATCGTCCGCCAAGTCGGGTATGAGGACAGATACTCGCGTTTGACTGGGGTGAATGGCGTCGGAAGTCAATGAAACTCACTGGCCAATGGGTTACATCCCAGTGGCTAAATAGTCAACAGACTTTTCTCTAAAGTTTGGTTCCATCCACGGTGGAGTCATAGGTCTGAACTTCTGGAAAGTCTGAAAACCAGGGTTAAACAGCTTCCAATACTTACTGGTTTTTCCCTCATAAACGATCTGGTACCGCCGAGGATGACTAGACTTTTGTCTTACTCTGAAAATACTCTCATGTGACCACTGGTCAATGACTTCCGACAGGTAAGTTTTATTCTTTGCCTTCACGCAGCCAAGGCGCTCCTCAGAAAAGTGAGAGGTTGATTTGCATGTCTATCAAAGGTAGTTGGAATGCCCTGATCCCGAACGAATTGATTGTCGTATGAACCATATTTCTGGTCACGTGAACACATTGAAATATAGCTTCTGAAGCTGCTCCACTGCCTTGTGGATTAGACACTTCAAACCAAAGGTCGGGGGTCGACCACTGAAGACACCCACTTGCTTCAGTCTAGGCACTATCCTATCCCTCACGCAAACTATGGAATTCTCTGTGGTGCATCTTTTGATCCCCATAATAATGATATTGTAGCAAGAGGGGACAAGGGCTAGGAAACAGATCGTTTATTAGGGAAATCAACACATATTTAAAGATTTTCATGTACATATTATAGATTATTGTTAACAGAAAAACACAATCCTTTGATTGGTTGTTTCTCACAGAAAGTTAACCTTGCATCTCTTTGTGGCTGTTTCTTGAATGTCAGATCATCTATATGTTAACTGTATCCGCCTGTGCAAAGCCTTTGTTCTCATTTTTCTCATGACCCATATTGGGGACATAAACATTGACGTAAATTACTGTCCACCAATTTTGACTAACAGCCATCTCTCACCGCAGTATCACTCCCCAAACCTTTGACATGAAGTCTAAACCACAGGAACAGTAGAGCACTAGAGTAGCTGTGCCCCCAATTGTCGCCAGTGTCTAAGACAGATTCACATACCATTCATTCCTTTTGGGGTCCTGGAATCCCTGTGGTGCATCATGGTTTTCTAACTCCCATAAGATGAAGCTTTCATCATATCCGGTGATGAGCTCTGGACATTCGAAATTTACCTTTCGTTTTTGGAAAAAACACACTACAGTCACGTAAAAGGGTAAAGGCTATGAACACTTGGCCACATGGAGGGCATTTTAAGGCGATTGCTGATGAGAATCTAGCCAGTATAGACTATACAGTGTTATTTGTGAAAAGGCAACTTTTATGAAACAAGGTGTGTAGAACTTACAATCCATAAGTAATTTAATTACAATGATATATTTGAATAAAGCAAAAACAACAGGGATGGTTTGTGCAGAATAATATGGTACCATCCTTCGTTTATTTCGTCAGCTTCTCATCAGCTCAGCTGCTTACAGCCTAAATAAATTATGAGGTTTACCTACAGAAAAGTTTTAACATACTTGAAAATATGGTGACATGATGTCAGTTGACAGAAAGTTCCACAACTAGTGAACAGTGGTCAGAAAATTGCGCTTATATAGTTTTTACACAGGGAGTTCAAGCTTAAAGAAAATAAATGTATGCAAGCATACAATGGTAAAGGAGTTACGTAATATAGACGAGAGGTGAGTAGGATAATGAGTAACTATTAAATTAAGTGACAATGTACTGAGTTAAACTCAAATCATAGGCACAAGAGACAAGCAAAATTACAGATTATATAAAAAGGCGGTGTGGTTAAAGACAGAGATTACGTAAGCAGATGAGAGAAAGAAAGACGTCCGCTTATCAGGACAAGGGAAGACTAATAACTGCTTCTTTCTGAACACATTCTGGTTTAAAGTGTTTGATAGAAATTGCTTCAGCAAACTTAAGGAGAATGGAGCTCTTTTGTTTATTGATAATTTTAAAGGATTCCGCGATTTCCATCTTAAGACCCGTGTTGAGATGTCTGGTAATAGCGCTACTATAAGCGTTTTGTCCCTTAAGACATAGGCTTTTCGGTACATGTTCAGAAAATCGTAGGTGTGTCCTTCTTTCTGTTCTTCCAATGTAACTGCTCCCGCAGATACACGTAAATTTGTATAGACAGTTAAAATTAACATGAGAAGGGTATCTATCGAATTTTGACTGATTGTCTCTTGTTTCAATGACGTGAATTGAACTCAGTACATTGTTACCTAACTTATTAGTCACTCTGCATCTTACGCATCTCTCGACTGTATTGCGTAACTGCTTTACAATTGTATGCTTGCATGCATTTATTTTGTTTTAACTTGAACTGGCTGTGTAAAAACTATATAAGCGCAATTTTCTGACCACTGTTAACTAATTGTGGACCTTTCTGTCAACTGACATCATGTCACCATATTTTCAAGTATGTTAAAACTTTTCTGTACGTAAACCTGTTGTTCTTTATTATTATTATTATTATTATATTTATTATATCCTTTAATTCCTAGAGGAACATAGGGCTTCAGCTGCGCGTCTCCATTGCCTTCCGGTTTCTGCCAACTTTTTCACACCACTCCAAGTCTGCCCACATGCTTTCATCTCCTCTTCACATGACCTCCTCCAAGTCACCCTCGCTCTGACGACCAACTCGCCGCCCGCTTCCCTTTCGGGTTCCACTCGAGCAATGGCTTGTCTAGTGATGTCACTCACTTGATGGTTTTCTCAGAATATGGCCAATCCAATCCACCTCCATTTCTTCCTGCCTATTTGTTTCACAATCGGTTCCTGCTGGGTTGGTTCGCTCATTGCTAGAGATCCCTCCTTGTTGGTGATCTTTTCTGGCCAGCCATCTGATCTTGAGTGATGTTGAGCGAAGACAACTGTTAATGAAGATCTGTAGTTGGTTTGAGATGCTCTTCTTGCACGCCAAGTCTCTGATCCGTATAGTAGCACTGACTGACTTCACATTTGAATTGAAAATCCGGATGTTATATTCGTTTTGATGCTGAGTGCTGTTGACCTCCACACAGACTTGACGTGAGTAATGAAAGCTTGTCTTGCTTTTCCGATCCCCACTGCTTTGGTATCCTCGTCAGTTTCGTCCACCTGTAGTTGAAACGATGTTTCCCAGGTAGGTGGGTAGGTAGAGGAGGTTGTTTCTTTCAGGTTCCTCCCATTTATGCTGGCTGATTGTTGTCTGTTGTTGTTGCTGTTGGTGTTGGCCAGGAATCTTCATCACCTCTGTTTTCTGTATGTTCACTTGAGGTCCTATCTTGGATGCTTCTTTTTTGGCCAGCTTGTTGCTTTTTACTTGTTTTATTCATATTCATCAGGGGGAGTAAATGATATATCTATTTTCTATCGATTAATCGTTGTTAATTATGTCATTTTCTTTGATAATTTAGTTTGTTTGTTTGTTCGTTCGTTTATTTACAGTGAACAATCACAAAGAAAAGGACTTATTGTACTTTATGATATGCGTGATACAAAATATTCAAATTTTGATTATCATCTCTGTATTAAATTATTAAATTTATTCAAGGTGAGTTCAGTTCAATTTTTCGATTTTTTCCATCATCCGACATTCTACTCCGCCTCGCTGCACGGTAGCTCCTTACTTCCTTTTTTTACTCTCCTGCACTTTACTCACTCCTTAATTGTTAAAAAAAAGAGATACACGGAGTGAAACTAGAACTTGCTCATTTGATGAGCATATTAGCGCACATTAGCCACCAGTCTCAACGATTTCTACGGTTCGTGTGTGTGTGTGTGTGTGTGTAAGGCCTTCATCGGAAACTTCATTTATCATCCATCATAAACGGCTTAAATACATGTTGTGTGTGCATGCCGAGCTATCACCTTCCTTGACGAGCAGTGTCAACCGACTGCTTGGTTGGAGTCCTTGAAATGCTTAGAACAAATGGCTATAGAGACTATCATTAATATGTCTGTCTGTCTGTCTGTTACAGACATAGAACTTTGCACATATGTGCACCAGTTCAAGTCGGCACACTCCCTCCATGTAGCACGCAAAGAAACAGAAGAATGTAGAAGAAATGCATCATAGAGACAGTAAACAGAGGTGTGAGACAGGAATGGTGATAACGGAGAATAATATCGTTTCATTGGAAATCATAAGTCACAAGGAGTGGATGCATTCTGCGCCTGCTATTGACAACGATTTTGAGCCATATGACCAATTGTTTCCAACCATTGGTTTTTACCGTCCCGATGACCCCTACCAGTCAGGAAGTCTACACTTTCCTAGGTGACTAGCTGGCTTAAACTAACTGTTGTGGATTTCATTGACTGATGAAGCCATGTTTTGGTTTGACCTCCGCTGGCTAGCTCTTTTCCAGCCTGACCCTATGTGAGCTAACATTTCCCGTCGGTCGAGGAAGGCGATAACTAGGCATACGTAACACATGTCCTAACCATCTCTCTCAATCGATGTAATTTCAAAGCCTCGTCGATTGATTTCCCCTCCCACCTACGTAGCACTCGACTGGTGCCTAACCTCAATATTGCTCACCGTATTATACCACTTCACACGGGAGATAGAGCGCAGGCACCTATGATCAAAGACAGACAGCTAGCCAACCTTTTCATGTCTTCCACTCTCAATGGTCATGTCTCAGTCACAGGACGGAGCGGAGTGATGAGCAGCACACCTGCCCTTTGGTCGAGTCGGATATCACGTCTTTGCCAGAGACGGTGTAAACTAGAATATGCGAAGCTATCCCTGTGTATCTGTGCTGAGATTTCGTGAGAGATCAACCCGTTAGGGCTGATGGTACTTCCCAAATAAGTGAAGCTGTCAACGTACTCTACCACTTCACTTCCTATTTCTAAGCTAGGAGTCAGTGTAATCCAGTCCTATGACATCATGTTGCATTTGGCGGGAGCGAATCGCATGCCAAAATTTCGTAGAATGCAGCTCAAAGTGTTCAGAAAACTCTACTCTATGTTGTTAGCGTCCTCGCCTAGAAGGACTATATGGTCTGCATATTCTAAGTCAACGAGATTATTCCCTAGTGGTAGCAAGTCAGTCCCTTAGTCTCTGAAGTGATTTGGGGTTAAGTCGATAAACGAGGACCTGGTTCGAACTAGAGATTATAAAGCGTATCTTTCTTTGATAGCATATTATTGAATGAGACCATCTGTTTGTGAAGAAAAGGCACTCCTATTATTATTATTATTATTATTATTATTATTATTATTTTAATAAAACAAGTTTAGAGTTGTTTTCTCCAAAAGCTTTTTTGTTTCTTACCAGCTGTTCACCTGAAGTATTGATTAACGTATTAAATCTTTGTTTTTGTGATAAGATAACTTATAATCAGGACAAATTTGAACATTATCGTCGTCTTCATCATAATCTAGAAAACAGAACTATTGAACAGTGAAGAAATATTTATTTTTCAAGTAAATCTCCATCTCGCTATGGCTCTACTCTAATATACACGTATAGCCTTTTTATTATTACAATACACAACAGTTTACCAACCAAGTAAGTGGCACTGATATGCTTGTTAACAATAATTAGTCAGTCAGTGTCAAAATGTCAATGGGCAGTGGGGTGATAATTAACGAAGAAAATCAATACACACAGTTAAAAGGTAGAAATGGTTAAAATACATTAACTGTACAAGGATACCACGTAAATTAAAGATGAAATGATCAGGAAAAATAAAAAATGAAATAATTTGGACAATTATAATTTTTATAATTTTAAAGGTTTAGGGGAGGGGGCGAAGTAGTCCGGTGTATACATTCGTGTAACGATGGCCAAGGAAGGTAAGGAAAGTGGTTGTACAAATTTCTTCTGAACACACACACAGGTTTGGCTGGCTTCTTCAAGTAGTGGATTCCTATTGCTTCAGCTGTTGTATGTAGAAGACGAACTCGTAGAGCAAAATTAAGATTAGTAGGAATGCGATAGATAATTTTAGGTGCAGAATTAACGTCCACCTTATGCTCACTGTCTACAAGGTGTGCTACAGTAGGCCTACGAATAGATCTTGTTTTTCCTTTGCTCAACCACGTTGGATGATGTTCGGAAATACGATGATGAACCTGCCTAATTGTACACCCAATGTAACTGGCTCCGGAGCTGCAGTCAAACTGGTAGATACACGTAGAATAGGGGTGGGTGTGAAGAGACAACGTACCTCTGCTGCATAATAAGCTCTTCTAACTGCATTCTTCAGGCACTGTGTTATTATTCCACTGATGTTGTCCGCATTGACATGTTGATACTGACTAATTATTGTTAACAAACATATCAGTGCCGCTTGATGATTGGTAGACTGTTGTGTATTGTAATAAAAATGGTATACACAATATATTAGAGTAGAGCCAGAGTGAGATGAGGATCTAATTGAAAAGTAAATATTTCTTCGCTGCTCAATCTTTCTGTTTTCTAAATGTCTATGTGGGGATTTTTTCTATATTCATCACCATCATTCGTAAATTTTGGCGCCAGTGTATAATTATTATTATTGTTCCCTTGGGTTCCTAGTGGAACATAGGGCTTCCTTCAACTGCACGTCTCCACTTGCTGCTGTCTTCCTTCTGCTGTACTTTTCACCTGCATCCACCATGTTAGTCCATACTGTTTCAACTCCTCCTGTTCACACGATCTCCTCCATGTCACCCTTGAACTGACGTCCCACTCGCCGCTTCCCTTTCGGCCTGGTTCCACTCGAGCGATGGCCTGACACGCGGGCGATGTCACCCAGCGGTGGCCTCCTCAGCGAGTGTCCAATCCATCTCCATCCACTTTCTCCTGCATATTTGTTGGTTGGCGATTGGTTTGTTCTTGTTTTGTTTGTTCCTTCCCATAGTTTCTTATTGGTGATTCTTTCCGGCCCGGCCATCTGATCTCCAGTATAGATTGAGCGAAGACAGTTGTTGGTTGATGAAGGTCTGCAACAGGCTGTTGGTTGGAAATATTCTTTGTGACCCACCCCCACCAAGTTTCCGATCCGTATAGAAGAACTGACTGACTTGACGTTTGTATTGAAAATCCTACTGAATTTTATTGTTGATGCTGAGTAAACCCTGGACGGGTTGCAGGTGGTGGTCGGTTCAATAGTCCTTTGAAGTGACCCGCCTATTGTTTAAGCTGTCTTTCTTCCTTGGTAATTGGGTTTCCTTGGCTGTCTTTTATAGCTTTAACCTGTGTTGATCTCTTCCCGGATAGAGACTTGGTTATCTGATATAATGTCCTCAGGTCCCTTTTGCCTGCTGCCTTTTCAGCTTCAGTGGCCAGGTTGTTGTAGAATTGTCTTTTGTCCTTCCTAGCACTCTTCTTCACTTCTTTATCCAGTAGTGCTGTGTAAGTTGAGCTCAGCGTCTCTTTCTCTTGTCTGTTTTTGCATTGAATCATTTTCTCTTTCACCATTCTCCTCTCTTCTGTTAGCTTCCAAGTGTCCATTGAAAGCCATTCCTTGTCTTGCCTTTTCTTTCTTCCTAAAACTGTTGAACACGTTTCGTTGAAAATCAGCTTCAGAGAGTTCCAGTGGTCTTCCACGCATGATTCCTCAGTGACGTCACGTAGTGTTTCCTGCTTTGCTCTGACAGTTGCAGTGAAAGTGTCCTTTGTGGTTGTGTCCTTCAGTTTTTGAGTGTTGAACTTGCATTGTAGCTTATCCCCGGCTATCCTTAAGGCTTTTAGCTTCACCTTGAAAGTTCCCTTGTACTAGATAGTGAGTGGTCTGAACCCACATCTGCTCTTCTCCTCGATCTTGTGTGTGTGTCCAGTAGGCTCCGTCCCCACTTTCTTGAAATTGAAATGAAGTCTATCTGGTTTTTGGTGTATGTCCATCTGGTGAAATTCATGTCGCTTTGTGTATATCCTTGTGTTTGAACACACTGCCACCAATCACCAAATCATTGATTGAAGGCGCAGAAGTCTGAGAAGAGTTCACCATTGTCGTTCATTCCACCGAGGGCCTCACGACCCATGGTGTGTACGCTGTAGTACCCAATGCCCAGATTATTTTTCAAGCTGTTAACAGTGAACTTACTTTGGTTAATTGATGATGATGATCCTCTTCTTAACCTACGCAACACACTGGTACACTCCTCTGTGTGTGTTCACACATGAGATTTTGTATATAGTATATTAATATTAGTGAATAAAGTTTATATAGTATTATTGATTACTCCTAAAACATTTTTTATTTCAATAATCATCATGTCTGTTCGTATGTGTGGGTGTGTGCGTGTCTGTGTGTGTGTGTGTGTTTGTGTCTAAATGGTAATCATCGGTAATCAAGAGAAAGCATTGTTGAATCTATTCTCTATATGTGAATGTTTAAGATTTTTGAGAAATTAATAAATACCTAACCATTATTATTATTGTTACTAGTGTTCAAAGTTGGCTTATTTTCAATTTTGCAGTTGTTTTTTTTTTCAATGTTTACCTAACATTCCATTCATTTGTTGTAGTTGTAGTTGGTTCAGTTGTCAGCTGTTCGTTCAGTCTGTTTGTAGTTTGTAGGTTTCTCTGCTTCATAGTTTGTTTGTCTTTTCAAA